CCTAACAATGTTTTAACATCAGCACAGTAAAACTCGATGGTAAAAAGGAATTCCTGAATTTTGACCACTCACTCCTCACAGCATGCTCCAAATATTGGTTGCCTTTGCACTCACTTTTGTTTCTGTTGTTTCTGTTAGAATTCATGTTGAGCTCAGTGAGCTTCATTTACTTCATATGTGAAGACAAATTAAGCTCATTGATTAAACGAGCCAAGGGAGACACCTGGTGGACACATACAGTCAGAACGTGCGGAGACAAACAGCTGGAAATACTTTTTAGAAGGATTGTCGAACTTCAAGAAAGAAAAAAAACAGCACACACTCTAACACTCCTTTATTTGCACTGAAGGAGAAATATGAAGATATCAGTTAAAGTAAAATTAGTAAGATTACCCAGCATCAACCAGCTTCTCCATCCAATTGATAACGCAGAAAAAAATCATATAAGCCTGTTGTCTGCTGTAATTGTCCTCTTTTGCTGTTTGAACTCTGCCATTGATAGCCTGTTATCTCTCTCTGCAGAATGTGGTCTTGCACCATACAAATATACAGACAGTAGCTCTTGGGACTATTCATCATTCAGCCACATTATATCAGTCAGACCTTAACATTTATTGTTATATTTCAACATGAATTATTTCAAAAATATTCCTCACCATACCGCAAATTCAAGTGACAAATTTATACTCCAGGTTTACCACATTGGAGTAAAAATTGTGTTTATATGTATAATCACATATAAACACGTGATCGATGTAGATTTATATAGAATAGAATAGATAGAATAGCCACTTTACTGTCATTCAGACATCAGTAAGTGTACATCATTGGACTGTATAAAATAATCTAGGATACATGTAGGAATGTGAGACACAATTTAGAATAAGTGTACATGTACGGTTATCCACTGACACCGGGAGGAGAAAAAATACTTGGCTTCATTTGTAGAAAGAAGAGGATCATGAAAAATAAATACATAAACGCAGGTGCAGTCGTGTAACCGGAGATGACACAACTCTTCGACTCAACGAATCTGCGTGCGTTTGCTGAGTCACGTGACCACACGACAGCGAATCACAGCAGAGCAGGGGACTATGGGGAGGAGCGAAGTGTTGGCTCCAGAAACATGGCTGATGTGTGATGAATCAGGACCAACGGACCGACAAATCACGCAGGTACCGATCAGAGCATCAAGAAGAGGAGGTCCAGTATGAGGAGGAGAGCAACACCGGAAACCCGACAGAAACTCACACATCTATAGGTATGGACATGTTTTTAACTCTGTTCTCTTTAAGCTCCGATTCTTTGATGTTTGGTTGATTGGTGATAAATCTGAAAGATTATCAGCATCTCCAGGATTTCTCTAAGCTGATGTTAGCTGAGAGCAGGAAGCTGTCACTTTGGTGATGAATTCAGAGGAGCCAACGGTGATAGTTGAGGAAGAGCACACACACTCTTACACACCAACTGTTTATTCCCTTTATTCTCCATGAGAGCCTCAAAGTGAACACACACAGTGACAGACTTTCCAAGCATCAGAACACAAGCTCTCCACATTACAAATAATGCTGTAATTAATGTCTTTACATCTGCAGCAAAGCTAGCAGAGAAAATGAGTTTTATTGACTGGTTAAACAGAGTGATCGGTGGAAGTGGTGTGCAACAAGATAGGGTGGGTCAGGATAGAGATGGAAATACAAATAAGTAAAGAGTGTGATGAGAATATTAAAAGAATGAGGAGCTGATGAATGCAGAGAATGTCAGAGGAAGAACAGATGGGGCACAGCTAGTGAATCAGGAAGTGCAGGAATAGTAAGGAGTAAGTACTAAGAGGGATAAACTGATGATCAGTACCAATAGAACTGGGAAAGAGCTGCTGAAGCTGGGTAAAGGTGAGAGGTGATGACTACATGCTGAGATAGAGAAAGAGCTCTACTGCACTGTTTGCTTTGAGAGCATTAAAGATGGTCAGGAATTACACTGTGCCATATCAGAAAGCATATGATGCAAATGAAACACATGAATTTTGCTGTCTTGGGGGTTGTTGAAGCAGCTACCTTGTCACTAATAGGCCATTTGAAGAAGGCAGGTAACTCTTGCTTGTTTTGTTGTTGTGCACATGTAACATAAGCTGAAATGCAGTAAGCAGTGAATATTCTGTTTCCACTGTGGTTTCACTTGTAGAGCTTTGTGTCATAGCTGGAAGTTTGTGGTTTAATTCCCGGCTCCCCTAGTCTGCATGTGGTATCCTTGGATATGGTGCTGAATCCTGGGCTGTCCCTGATGCATCCATTGTATTGTGAATGTGTGAATTTCAGGAAGTACAATCTGTTTAAGAAAAACAAAAAAAATCTGAGTGCCATTCAAGTGAGCCCCAACACAACTCGTATATTTGTTTAATAATGCAAATGATAGTTTCAATAGAAAGGCTTTCTTAACATAAGCTGACAAAAGCAACAATGGCAGTGAGTCTTTTTAATGACTCACTTTAAGTGAAGAAAATAATTTTCCATTCATTTTCTTCACTGACATTTCAGAAAAATCCTTAGAAAGAGTTTTAAGTCTTGAATGAAGTGGTTCAGCTAAAAGATAAATGACAAAAAAAAAAAAGCAAAATGCAAAAAAATTTAAAACTGCAAAGATACAACGCTGTGTACATAATCACAATAATACTGCTTTCATTACTGTAGTGTTGTCTAATAATAGGTTTGGTTAAATTTTGTAATGTCTTCTGTGTGTCTGTGTTTCTACAGCCTACATAGTCTATAACTTGTGGCCCATTCTGATTTCCAAGTTTTCAGATTTTTGCTAAGTTTGAATTTCTTTCTAAGAGCTTTGATTGACAGCATTTACAAACAAAAGTAAACTTTTCTTCAATACAAAACATGTTTTCATCACAAAATTATTAAAGTCCACAATTGTAATTTTGGAAAAGGTTACAAATAATGAACTGAAAATGAGTTTCTGTATACCCACCTTTACCTGACATATTCTTCCTTAGCAAACAAAAGTAGGTGTAGCACATTTACAGAACAAACAAATGTCAGGTACATGCTGGTGTCATTACCAGTATAAATCCAACATCCAGCCTTTTCTCTTTTCCCCTTGTTTCTATAATTTCACTCCTAACTGTTTTGAGGCTTTGCTTACACTGAGGCTGCTAGCTTATGGTTGGCTCTGAGTTCTGGAAACTTTAGCTTTAGCCACTTTTCTTTTGTTAGCATTTTTTTTTTCCATGTTTAAGTGTCTGATCAGGTTTGTGTTGCTGCTTGTTTTTGAGAATTGCACATTTAAGATCTGAAACTTTGAACTTGATTTTTAAATATGGAAAAATATATTCATGTATTTTCTGCATCATCAATACCTGAAAATTTCTGCATCATTGATACATTTAAATTATACCCCAAACTACTGCAGTATCTCATGGCACCTAAGTGTGCCACCAGGGAGCACCTTATTTGACACGATCAACACCTCACTGCACACCACTCATATTGCAGTCTGTGGTTGCCGTCTCTCCAATACCTAAAACTATTTTCAGGTTTTAACACATGCTTTTGTAAAAATAGTTTTGTGTAATCACAGTAATGATCATTTCCTTCTTTTTATTTGTTCCTCAAGACCTCCCACAACAAAATGACTGTGAGGAGGAGGATGGTCTGGATGAGCAGCAGGAGATGAACTCCAGTGTGGACCAGGAGGACCCAGAGCCTCCACAGATTAAAGAGGAACAGGAGGAGCTCTGCAGCATTCAGGAGGGAGAGCAGCTTGGACTGAAACAGGAGACTGATACTTTCATGGTGACGCCTGCTTATGAGGAAAGTGAAGAAAGCCAACATGTGGACTCAGGATCAACTAGAAATGTAGAGCTGAAGAACAGGAGACGTTACAGAAAGAGAAGTTGCAATAAGAGAGTAGACAACACTGCTGTGTCAATGAGTCTGAGTCAAACTGGCACAAGGGGAAAGTCTTTTCAATGTGACGTCTGTGGAAAAACTTTTCACGAAAAATATAACTTTACTAAACACCAGAGAGTTCACACAGGTGAGAAACTCTATCCTTGTAGGACCCATGGTAAACAGTTTTTGTGTTTTTATATTATAGATTAATAACCCTTTTGTGGTTCTTTGTTCCTCAAGACCTCCAACATGAGGAAGAGGAGGGTCTGGATGAGCAGCAGGTCTTTAACCAAGAGAAGAACTCCAGTCTGGACCAGGAGGACCCAGAGCCTCCACAGATTAAAGAGGAACAGGAGGAGCTCTGCAGCAGTCAGGAGGGAGATCAGCTTGGACTGAAGCAGGAGGCTGAAGGCATTATCGTCTGGACTGGGGAAGAGCGACTCAGACTGCTAAAGACCATCTGGAAACCTGTGATAAAGTTGCAAAGAGTAGGTATGTAAAACTGTGATGGACTTAATAACAATGAATATGAGTAATGTAGGATCCTAACCAGAGCTCAAAGTTACATTTAGTTTTAGAAGCACAGGAATTAAAGGTCAAACTGCAATAAGCAGCATGAATGCATCTTTTTACATCCATTCATCTTCTTCCGCTCATCCGGGCCGGATCAATGAGGCAGCAGTCTAAGCAGAGAAGCCCAGACCTCTCTCTCCCCAGCCACCTCCTCTAGCTTGTCCAGGGGAACACCAAGGTGTTTCTAGCCAGCCGCGAGATATAATCCCCCAAGTGTGCCCTGGGTCTGTCCCGAGGCCTCCTCCTGTGGATATGCCAGAGCACCTCACCCAGGAGGAGCCCAGGAAGCATCCCTGTCAGATGCCTGAACCACCTCAACTGGCTCGTTGGAGCTGCGGCTCTACTCTGAGCTCCTCCCGGATGGCCAAACTCCTCATCTTATCTCTAAGGGAGAAGCAAGCCACCCTTTGGAGGAAGCCACAGTTTGTCCATAATGAACACCATGTTCAAGAATAAGGGTGTCTATAAAGGTACGTGGCACCAGGACACCTTAGGCCACAGGTCGATAATCAATTTTATTATCGTATAACCAGACCTAAGGTCATATGTTCTGGAGACAAGAAGAGAGGGGCTGAGTTGTCAACTGATCACCACCTGGTGGTCAGTTGGATCAGGTGGCGGGGGATGTTGGACAAACTTGGCACACCTAAACGTATAGTGAGGGTGCGCTGGGAATTCCTGATAGAGGCCCTGGTCCGCGAGATCTTCAATGCACACGTCCAGCAGAGCTTCAACAGCATTCTGAGGGAGACTGGGGACATTGAGTCCAAATGGATCATGTGCAGTACATCCATTGCAGAAGCCACTGCACTGAGCTGTGGCCACAAGGCACAAGGTGTGTGTTGTTGTGGTAACCCCCGAACCAAATGGTGGACACCAGAGGTGAAGGGAGCCACCAAGCTAAAGAAGGAGTCCTGTCGGGCATTGTTAGCCTGTGGGACTTCGGAAGCAGTTGATAGGTACCGATAGGCCAAGCAGAAAGTGGCCCGGGCAGTGGCGGAAGCTCTACCTGCAGTCTGTATAGTGTGAGTAAAGCACTGCTGACCTCATGGACCACATGAGCTAACTGTTATTTACTAGCAATTGCTAAGATTATTGACTAATGAAACAGAGGCAAATAATCTAATTTCTAAGTGGCTTTGGTCTCCTGTCAATGAAGACATCAAATTAACATCCAACGTTTTTCAGAGTAAAAAATGGTGGGAGGTGGGAATCACCAGACACCCCATACTATCACAATACGACACTCATGATTTGATATAGTGATATTTAGCATTTTGCAATATACTGAGTATACTGAGTATATTGTGATTTGTCATCTTTTTTCAGCTGCAAATTATGGCCCTTGGAGTTAAATTTTGTCAGCTTGTTTTATTCAATAAGTCAACGCTAACTGAATTTTGTTCTGCAAAATGAGCACACCAACACTGTCACTAAAACCTCCCGTAAATAGTGCCATAAGTCTGAGTCAGTCTGATATCAGTCTGCAGCTGAATGAGGTCAAGTTGGAAATTACATCCAGTCTGTGTCTGATAATACAACAATTAACTGTGATAAATCCTCAAAAATCCTATATCTGTTGCTGTCTACATTGACGGTAATTTATATTTCACATATGTTGTCTTTTCTTTTATTCATTTGTCTCTCCAGACCTCCACCAGCAGCATGTCTTTAAGGACGAGGAGGTTCTCACAACCCAGCAGGTCTTTAATCAGAGAGGAACTACAGTCTGGGCCGGGAGGACCCAGAGCTTCCACAGATTAAGAGGAACAGGAGGAAGTGTGCAGCAGGCAGGAGGGAGAGCAGCTTGGACTGAAGCAGGAGGCTGATACTTCATTCATGTGACTTCCGACTTATGAGGAAAGTGACCACAGGGAACCAGAACCAAACAGTAAGCAACTCCTTTTCACAGCTCACCTGAAGAAGAGAGCCGGGATCAGGAAAAAGCCAGCATGTGGACTCAATATCTACTAAAAATGCAGAGCTAAAGGAGAGGAGACATTACAGAAAGAGAAGTTACAATAAGAGAGCAGACAACACTGCTGTGTCAGGAGTCAAAGTAAAACTGACATAATAAAAAAGTCTTTAAAGTGTGACACCTGTGGAAAACTTTTCGCAAAAAAAACCACCTGACGACACATCTGCGAATTCACACAGGGGAGAACCATATCTTGCAGTACATGTGGGAAGAGTTTCAGTCTGAACTCAACATTGAAAACCCACACAAGACTTCACACTGGTGAGAGGCCATATGCTTGTATCACCTGTGGGAAAAAATTCATTCACAAATCAGATTTGGAACGTCATGTAAGAACACACACAGGCGAGAAGCCGTATTCATGTGGCACTTGTGGGAGAGAATTCCGTCTGAACTCAACATTGAAAACTCATATAAGAGTTCACACCGGTGAGAAGCCGTATTCCTGTAGTACTTGTGGAAAACAGTTTACTGAGAAATCATCATTGAGAACACATATAGAATTCACACAGGTGAGAAGCCACGTTGTTGTAGTATCTGTGGAAAAGATTTTCTGACATCTCGGGAGTGATAAAACACATGAGATTTCACACAGGCGAGAACCGTATCCTTGTAGCACATGTGGGAAAAGATTCAGTCAGAAATCGGATATGGCCCGTCATGTACGAATTCACACAGGTGACAAACCGCATGGTTGCAACATTTGTGGGAAAATATTCATTCAGAGGACCAGCTTAAAGAAGCACATGAGAATTCACACACGTTAAACTTTCAGACTTTCAAAATGTGGGACAGCTGTGTGTGAGCTCACACTGAGCAGAAATTAATCGCTGCAATGCTTGAATGAAAAGATGATCCATTTTAAAGTCAGTATTTTCTGTGCAGAATAGTGAAGAACTCTCACCATTGTTTATTAGCCTTTTTCCCTCATTCCTATAATTGTATCAGGCAAACTCTGGTCTTACATTTCATGAAAGTTAACATTCTGCATGCTCGTGGCCTGTTGGTTCATTGTTTAGTTATTTTATTTATTATGTGTTCTTAAAGTATTATTGCAGGGTCTACCTTGCAGTTGTGATTGTTGTTGTGATTTGGCGCTCTATAAATCAAAATCGAATTGAATTATGCTTCAAATAAAGATTTTATTCAAAATCTTTTGAGTGTTTTTTTTTCCTGAGGTGTAATCTCTAATATAATCTCTGTGTAAGCAGCATGACAGAGGGTTCTGCTTTGTCTTTTTGGCATGACACATCTGTGGAGGAATGGAGATGCTTAGGTGAGAAAGCAGTGGACTTTTTGACAGTGTTGGGGAGTAACGGAATACATGTAACACCGTCACGTATTTAAAATACAGAATATGAGTAACTGTATTCTGTTACAGTTACTGTTTAAAAAGATGATATTGAGAATACAGTTACTTTGTTGAAAAAAGTCTACACGTGAGTCTACACACTCATCCAGCATCAATATTCGTCCTCTGAGCTACTTTGAGGATGTGACAGCAGCTGTGTCAGAGACCAGAGATAAACTACAGGACATTCTGAGAGAGGAATGGACAAACATCTCACTGACAGTCACTGAAGTGGATGTTTACTGTCACCACCTGAGCCAAAGACCAGAGCTGGATTCTTAAAATATTCATGTGAAATCAAACTGGATCCAAACACAGCAAACACACATCTGTTATTATCTGAGGGGAACAGAAAAGTAACAAGAATGGAACAACAACAGTCTTATTCTGATCATCCAGACAGATTCAGTAAAATATGTCAGGTCCTGAGTAGAGAGAGTCTGACTGGACGTTGTTACTGGGAGGTGGAGTGAAGAGGGAGAGCAGTTGAAGTAGCAGTTGCATACAACAATATCTCCAGAGCAGGGAGCCTATATGAAAGTCTGTTTGGATATAATAACAAATCTTGGGCATTGCGTTGTGACACAACCAGTTTTAAATTCTGGCAGAACAATGTCCAAACTGTCCTCTCAGGTCTCGGTCCTCCAGAGTAGGAGTGTACCTGGATCACAGAGCAGGTATTCTGTCTTTCTACAGCGTCTCTGAAACCATGACTCTCCTCCACAGAGTCCAGACCACATTCACTCAGCCGCTCTATGCTGGACTTTGGCTTTTAGATTATGGAGCCACTGCAGAGCTGATTAAAGTCAAATAGACTCGTTCTCTGACATTTATATGCAAATAGTTTGGCTGTTATAGAACACTTTCTGCTCTACTTGATAACACAAAGCACTACATACAACTTGAACTCATTCAGTAGTTTTCCAAATCATGTGTAGTTTCTAAATGAGGCTTTACATTTTAAAAGCTGAGAAGTTCAGTGGTCCATTGATGTGTGAAAATAATATTGCACTGATTCAAACTGTACTTACATGAAGGAAAAACTGGTTCCTGTCTCAGAAATCTGAACAATATTAAATATTGATTTTCTCTATCATAAATTTACAGTCTTTGAAGTTTGAACTTTTAAAACACAATTTTGATTCCTTGACCATTTTGAAAATATAATGAAAAAAATTTAAACTATTATTTAATGTTCATACTAATAACACATTATTATATCTAGAGTAATGTGATTTAATGTCATTTTTTAAATTAAACTTTTGATGACTTGATCATTTATATATCTAAATATAAAACTAAATGATACAGGTCTCTATACTTCAGCAGCCACTCATTCAGTCAAATGAATGGATGGAGTTGCATTACATGCTGTAAGTGACTTAATTCTGATTTTGTAAAATAAACTGTATTAAAAAGAAATACAGTTATAAAAATATAAGAATTCCTGAAATTATTGATGCTTCATTAAGACTTCGACCATGTTTTAATGAATAAGTGAAGCACTTTTCCTCTTTGGTGCTTTTGCACTTAGTTTTTATTAGCAGGAAGCTCAGGCTGAGCTGATCCACCAAAGACGCCATAGCCTTTGCTCTCCATGCAGCACTGAGTCACCTGGAGAAACAGGGGAGCTATGTCAGAATGCTCTTTGTTGACTTCAACTCACCCTTTAACACAATAATACTGGACATTTTAATCATCAAGTTAGCCAACCTGCGGCTCCCGCCATCCACTTGCTCTTGGATAAGGGATCTTCTGGTCAACAGACCCCAGAGGGTGAAACTAGGCCCCTACTACTCTTCCTCTCACGCTCTCAGCACCAGCTCTCCCCAGGGCTGTGTACTAAGCCCACTGATCTACTCCCTCTACACATCTGACTTCAGCCCCGCCCACCCAGAGAACATCATAGTCAAATTGCCGATGACACAACAGTGGTGAGGCTGATTACAGGGGGAAAATTAGGCGGCCTACAGAGATGAGCCATGAAACTGGGGAATGGTGTGCATTAAACAACCTAGACTTAACATCACCTCGACTTCAGGCAGAACAGCACTGTCCCCCTGCAGTGAATGTGTAGACCGAGTGGAGTCCATCAAATGTCTCTGCGTCCACATCTCCGCAGACCTCTGCTGGTCAGTCAACACCACGGCACTAGTCAAGAAGGCCCAGCAGCGGCTACACTTCCTAAGGGTGCTCAGGAAGGAATAACTAAACACCCAGCTGCTGGTGACCTTCTACAGCTCCACCATCGAGAGCCTGCTGACATATGTAGTGAAATATCTGCACTGACCACTGATCCCATTTCCTCTAGACATAAACTACCCCTACTGTTTATGCTCATTCCATTGCTCCTGGGAGACTTGAACTCATGTCTGTGCTTATATTGTCGGTGCTGAAACTGTCTGTGCCGTCATTCTCTGGCTGTCAGTCTATGTCACTCCTGAACCGTGTATTATATTATTTGTATAGTTATAGTATTGCATGGATTTTTTTTATAATTTGCTAAGTACATACACACTTTTATGGAGCTGTTTTTAATCTCGTTATACTGGGTATAATGACAATAAATTCTTTCAATTCAATTAAATTCAATTTAACTTTGAATGTAAGAAAATGATTACATACAACTGAACTTAAAGGAAATATTAAAGTGAGCAGAGGGACGGAAGGAAAGGTGTCACCCAGAGAAAGTGAACCGACGGAGACACCTGGTGGACAAACACAGACATAACAGGAAGAAAGACTAAAGTGCAGAGAGGTGACAAACAGCTGGAAATAGTTGTTGGAAAGGATTGTCATGCTTCAGAAAACACACAGCACACACTCTAACAGTCCTTTATTTGCACTGAAGTAGAAATAACTTGAGAAGAATAAATCACATTACAAAAAAAATAAATTATATTTTAAAAAAAACAACAACAACTACCTGTTCAGCCCAGTCAGTCGTGCTAGATTTTTTTTTAAATAGAGATTGACAGACCACGTGACTTTTGCACATTGCATTGTGGGTACGAGTGGCAACAAAATCAAAACACTGCATCAAGCGCAAGCATTTCCAGCACCGGTAATCATTAATTCTGTGGTTTTAATCCCTACTTGCATTTTATTTGGCCCCAAAACAGTTATGTACAAAACAACGGAGAACTCGGCAGGTCCGTATGAAGACAGACTTGACGAAAAGGCAAAAAAAAAAGTACGAGGAAAAAATCAAAGAAGTGAAAGGGTTAGACCCATATGAGCATACAGAGTGGACTAAAGACGTTAGCGTGCTGCCCAGCTTTCATCACCCACATATTTATTATTTATTATATGGTCCTAAGTTTAGTGCGTACACTCACAAAATGTTTGGTAACTTAAGATCCCTGCAACAAGCCCAGGTCCAGTTTACTTTGGTGATTTGGACTATTCCATTTCACAGCTGTTGTTAATTTTTTTTCCTTTATCTCCTGTACAGGCCAACACAATCTATTTGTCTTTTTTCTTACTTCGGAAACATGGCT